CCAGGATAAGTACCTGGCTCCTGCCATCGGATCAGCGCGGTGTGCCGGCCGCAGCGCGCTGGCCGCGGCAGCCATTGGAGGGTGAACCAATGGCAAAAGGAAGACCTTTTTGCAATGTCCTTGGAACACACCAAATCATTCCTGCTTCTATGCTTTTGCTTAAGCAATTCCTCCCACCTCAAGTTCCTTTCCCTAATTGACTCTATCTACATTCTGCCCTTTTTAAAAAATCCTAAAGTCTATTTCAAATTACATGTCATCTAAGAAAATGTCTCAGGCCAGCGCCGTGGCTCAATAGGCTAATCCTCCACCTTGCGGCGCCGGCACACCGGGTTCTAGTCCCGGTTGGGGCGCCGGATTCTGTCCCGGTTGCCCCTCTTCCAGGCCAGCTCTCTGCTATGGCCAGGGAGTGCAGTGGAGGATGGCCCAGGTGCTTGGGCCCTGCACCCCATGGGAGACCAGGAAAAGCACCTGGCTCCTGGCTCCTGCCATCGGATCAGCGCGGTGTGCCGGCTGCAGCGGCGGCCATTGGAGGGTGAACCAACGGCAAAGGAAGACCTTTCTCTCTCTTGTCTCTCTCTCTCACTGTCCACTCTGCCTGTCAAAAATAATAAAATAAAAAAATAAAAAAATAAAAAAATAGAAAATGTCTCATCCATGAATCTTTTCTCTATAACCTTCAATTCATACAGAATTTTTCCCACTTGCTTTAGTCCTAAATGGACAAATTAATTTAATACTTTCATCTTTTTTCAGTTTCTGGCATTTACTCATTTTCATTCCTTCTATCAACCTAGTCCTTATAAAAATTACATTTTAGGGGAGTGAATCTGTAAATGGAAGATCTCTCTCTCTCTCTCTCTCTCTCCCTCTCCCCTTCTCTCTTTAACTCTTTGAACTAAATTGATCCTTAAATTAAAAAAAAAAAAATCACATTCTATCTGAACTGTTAACAATGCCTCGGAACAGCCCAGTGGTTGGCCATTTTCCCTTGCCCAGGCCACCTTTTTTTTTTTTTTTTTTTACAGGCAGAGTGGACAGTGAGAGAGAGAGACAGAGAGAAAGGTCTTCCTTTGCCGTTGGTTCACCCTCCAATGGCCGCCGCGGCCAGCGCGCTGTGGCCAGCACACCGCGCTGATCTGATGGCAAGAGCCAGGTACTTATCCTGGTCTCCCATGGGGTGCAGGGCCCAAGGACTTGGGCCATCCTCCACTGCACTCCCTGGCCATAGCAGAAAGCTGGCCTGGAAGAGGGACAACTGGGACAGAATCCGGCGCCCCGACTGGGACTAGAACCCAGTGTGCCGGCACCGCAAGGCGGAGGATTAGCCTAGTGAGCCGCAGCGCCGGCCAGGCCACCCTTTCTTAAGGGTAGTTTTGGTACACTAGTGCTCTGCTCACAACTCTCTTTGGCCTTCCATAACCAAACGGTCCATGTCTGTAGGTTGGCACGGCACAACCTTGCACCATACTATCTACTCAGCTTTATTTACTCAACATCTACTTTATACAAAATAGTAGGCAACAGAAGACACAGTCCATCTCCTCCAGGATCTGACAATAATTTACAAAGATAAGGCACAAATATAAAAACATCACACAGAATGCCTGTTCACCCATTCATCCACAGCCATTTTCCAAAAGAACACTTCAATCCAACAAAATCAGTTTCCTTGGCATTGGGAAAACGCTAAGCTCATTCAAAAATTACCTGCTTGTTTGTTTTATTACATTCTCAACCCTCAAAACAAGCCAAAAAAAAAAAAAAAAAGAGAGAGAGAAAAGAAAATATCTATCTTTTCTTAGCTAGTACCTAAATACCCCAATTTTAAAGTTTAATTCAAACACCACTATTCTCTTGCCACCTGAATTATCTGAATCAGTTTTTCCACGTGTATAAGCACCTTCACTATCCAACACATAAGCTCCTAGAAAGAAAGAATAATTTATCAGTTTTTGCTATTTCCTCTCCCCTCACTACAAGGGTGTTCACTGAAACAGAACACCAGGAAGACTGCAAGCAGACAACTAATACTACTACAAGTGAACTACAGTGAGGCTCTGTGGTAGAATACTGTGCCAACCACTAGCCTGTCACTAGTCACCAAAACCTCAAATCAAATAGGGTCACTATCTCTTCTACGTAACTACCATATGGGCAGATTTACTTGTTCAGAGTTACCTTGAATCAATAGGATTAATGAGCATTGTATTGTCTGTCATTTAATTTTTTTTAAAGATTGATTTATTTATGTGAGAGGCAGAGTTACAGAGAGTGAGAGAAAGGCAGGGAGAGAGGTCTTGCATCAGCTGATTCACACCCCAAATGGCTACAATGGCCAGAACTGGGCCAATCTGAAACCAGGAGCCAGGAGCTTCTTCTGAGTCTCCCACACAGGTGCAGAGGCCTGTACTAACACCCTCACAAGAAATTATTTTGCAATGACTAAGAATAGCTCAGTAGTGAATGTTTAGCTGGGAACTGGATGACATGTTAAAATTTTGAATCTTCCACTGCTTTCCCAGGCCACCAGCAGGGAGCTCGATCAGAAGTAGAGCAGCCAGGACTCCAAATGGTGTCCATATGGGATGCCAGGCAGATGCTTAACCTACTACACCACAGTGCTGGCCACCTGTCATCTAATTTTAAGAATGTGGCCTCCTACAAGGGCCATCACCTAAGCAGGGCAATACTCAACTGCTACATCCCTGGGAAAATGAGTGGGAAAGAATATTAAAACCCACTTGTGGCAAACCTATAGGTTTAAGTACAATAAGATGATCCATAAAATTAGCATTGAAAAGTGATATCCTGGGAATGGCATTGTGGCACAGCAGGTTAATCTGCCCCATGCAATGATAGCATCCCATATGACCACCAGCTCAAGTTCTCATTGCTCCCCTTCCAATCCAGTTCCCTGATAATGCTCCTGGGAAAGCACCAGAAGAGAGTCCAAATATCTGGACCCCTACCACCCTAGTGAGAGACCTGATGAACCCCCTGCCTTCAGCCTGGCCCAGCCCTGATCACTGCTGCCATTTGGGGAGTGAACCAGCAGACAGACGACCTCTCGATCTACTCTCTCTCTGTAACCCTGTCTTTCAAATAAATAAATCTTTTTTAAAAAAAAGTCCTTAAAAATGAACAAACACATAAAAAAAGGCATAGCCTCATGTCCAGAGTTTCATTTTACCCAATAACGTCGGGGGGGGGGGGGTGAAAATGGTAGGAATAAGCCAAATCTACCCTTCAAAAATAAGTTTTTCTAAATAACAAGTTCCATTCAAAGTTTTAACATGTCATCCAATTCCCAGCTAAACATTCACTACTGATCTATTCTTAGTCACTGCAAAATAATTTCTTGTGAGGGTGTTAGTACAGGCATGGAGAACACCTTGCATGTAATCACTGTTTTTCAAGTAAGTTAAAAAAAAAGTCTCCTTTGATTGCTGAATGAATGAAAGTGAATTTATAGAGTATGTATCTATGTACTGAGAGCAAATCTGTTACCTAATTAGGTTGGACCTAACTGTTGCTGGGGGGCAGGGAGCAAAAGATGTAAAAGCTGGTTAAGGTACTAGTAACTAACCAATGTCTGAATTCAAAGACCAGAGTGATGAGCTTTATGAATATTCATTTTAAAAGAGTGTGTGTAAATTGTGAAGTCTTTGAGGCATCCAAACTTTAGCTTCCAGGGAGGTAAAAGGGTATGTTCCATACGTAAATAAGCATCTGGCATTATACAGAAAAATTAACATACTTTTCAGTCTACATCCTACACACCAGAGTAGGTTATAGGTATTATGCAAGCACACAGCACTTGGGCAATCTTTTCCTCCTTTCCTTAGAAAATAATTTATATAATAACTGTTTAATTGAGTCGCTGCAGAAGCAGCTTTGCTTCCTCTCTTGCTTTTGAGGTTCAGGCTTTTTTCACTTCAAAACACTAATCTTGAAAAAATTTTAATTCTTCTTTTAAGGAAGACTTCATCATTTATCTCAGAAAAGGGCAAAAAGTCAGGAGGCGAAACCTGAGCTATTCCTATTAGTCTTACATAACTTAAAGTTTAAATTAATTCAGTAGTTCAACTAAAACCTGTGGGTAAAGCAGAAAGATGAGCTCTTTCAGTATACTCTCCATACACACACAGTTTTTAAAACCTGAAAGACTTAGTATTTGCCTCCTGATTTCTTAATATATAAGCACACATCTATATAGTAATTTACATATCCACATAAAAATGCTAAAATTGTTACACTTAAAATGAATACCTCATTTGGGGAAGAATATAATTAACAGAATTGAACTTAATTTCAGAAAACAAATTAATTCCCTCATACTAATTTTTGAATGTCACCTCTGTAAGTATGCATTAAGTATTTAAAAAGTGCTGAAGGGAACATCAAAAAGTGATTTTTGAAAGCAACAGGTATATGTTAACTATTGCTTGTCACCTGGAAACAAAACTCTGAAACTGTGAAGTCAGTTGTCCGTGCTTTAATTGGCTTTGATTACTGCAAAGTACCACTTCAAGGGTAAATATCTATCAAAACTGTCAACAGCATTAGGTTCACACAAGCAATCCTCCTATCTAGAAAAGCCCTGATCTGAAATCCTCAGTAAAGCTGGCCACGGATCCCCTGCCTTGCTACGGGAACTGCAGCTTGCTTAATCAAGCGCCAAACTGCAAACCCACCTTCCTAAAAAGATGGCACAGCTAGTCCCAAGTCTCACTATTCAGTTTTGAGAAGCCCTGGGAACCACCACACTATCAAGATGCCATTGGCCTCCGAGGCATTTGATTACAATACCTTGTGTTTTCCATTCAACCACCTCTATTCAGTTTCCCCTAGAACCAGGCACACACAAAGTTGACTCCACCGCTTTGCTGAAAGCGATCTCTGGGGTGCAAACTCTGGGATCATGCATCCATCATGCATCCATGATGCCTCCAGGGGAGGGCAAAAGGAAAGGCAAAGCACAGGGTGTCAGACATTACCTTGCCGGTCTTGTGGTCGAACCAGACGAGAGCATGGTTCCTGGACAGCACTTTGCAGTCAAAGGTGGCATTATTCTGCGCCGGCCGGCAGCGGGCCACCGAGCGGCCGATTTTGATGGGCTCGTCCAGGTAGACATGACGCTCCTGAAACGGGTGCGAGTTCGGGCGGCAGGTGAAGATGGCCAAGGCTGACGGCATCGAGGACAGACTGGCGGTGTCTCTCCTACCAGGGACAACGAGGAGTTCCTCCAGATCCGGACTGCCCTTCACAAGCGTAGACCTCCCCCCTTATTCCCCACCCCACCCTCAAGTAATTTTTTGTTTTCAATTACAACAAACTGCGCATCGTCTAAGCATAACCAGGGCACATCAGCAGCTCCTCACTGGGGTGGGAAGGCAGCCCAGCGCAAGCCCCATGGCCTCCTTGGAAACCCAGCAGCGCCCCGATCGCAAACAGTCCCCCGCTGGCGGCTTTCAGTCCATCTTCCCTGGGAAGGAGAGGCTCAAACATCGGGCAGCTTCGGCCAAGAAAACTCCTGGAAGGCAGTTTTGGGGCTGGAGGTCTCCAAGCAGATGAGTCACACGGCGATTCCGGGGTTCTGTGTGCGATCGCGGCCGCGGTGCCCCCTCGCTGGCGGAAACGTTGCAGCACTGCAGCATGAAGGAAGGGTCCGTTCGGGGCGGCCGGCAAGGTCCTCCGGAGCCGAGGCCAGGGGCAGCCGCCGCCCGTCCGCAAGGGCCCCGGGGGAGCGGAGGCCGGCGAGGGGTCTAGGCGGCCCGCGGGACGGTCTTCATCGCCCCTGCTGCTGCTGCTGCTGCTGCACGGATGGCCCACCGGGTCCCCGGCCCCGCACGAGCTGGGGCGGCGGCGGCGGCGGCAGGGGTCGCCCGCGCCAGGCGTGGGGGCCGGCGGGGGCGCAGGCAGCGGCCGCGTCCGGACTCCCCGGCACCTGGCGGGCGTCTCCGCGACCAGGGGCGGGACCCGCTCCGCAGGCCGGTACGGACCGAGCGAGGCGCTACCCGGGCGCGGCGCGGGGCTCCCGGCTGGCGGGAAGTTGGTCCCTGGACGCCCGGGCTCCCCGGCCGCGGCTGCTCAGCACACCGGCCGCCTCCCCTCAGGGTCGTCCCCCCGAGGGTCGCATCTCAGGGACAGCAGCCGCAGAGCTCTCGGCGGACGGGGAGGTGGGGGTGGGGGGGTGGGGTGGGAGACTGGCCCGGAGGCTGAGGGAGAGGCCTGGAGGCCCCGGGCTGGGTCCGCCGCAGCCTCCACCACTCGCGGCCAGCGGGGCGAGCTCAGGCTGTGCCAGACGAGGCAGGAAACTTTCCGACCTGGTGGGGAAACATCAAAACAAACGGCCGTCAGGCGCTGGTGCCCGCCCGCCTCAGCCCTCGCCCCGCTCAGCCAACCCCCAGCTAGCCTCCGCCGCTGGCCACGACCTCGGCCGACCTCTCCGCAGACGGACTGCGGCGATTTGGGGCCGGGACGCTACGACGGCTCCTGCCTCCCTCGCCGCCGCCGCCGCCGTCGCCGTCTCAGCTTACCTTGCCAGCGCCGGCCGCCATAGTGACTCTGACTGAAACCTACCCGGTGCACCGCCACGGGAACGCGCACCCTTCAAGGGCCCTCCTACCCCCTCTCCCGCGCCGTAGCCCGGGGATGTCACGTGGACGACGCCGCGGAAGCCACATTTGTCGAGGGCAGAAAGGAGGGCAAACCAGGTTTTAACGCGCTCTTCTGGACGCCATCTTAGTTAAGGGCTAGAAACTTCAAATTGCAGGAGAATCTTGACGACCATTTTGGTTAAGGGCAAGAAAGAATTTGAACATTGAAACTTTTACAAACAAATCGTGCCCACTCTCATTTTATCTTCTTAGTAATAAAGTACCAAATTTTACTAAACTTTATTCACTTTACTACTTCTTGAATGTAGCCACGAATGAAAAGAACAGGTCCAGGCACAGGAGATGGTCATTAGACGCCATCTTAGCTATGGGCAACACAGTCCTCCCTCCGCCGCCTTAGGTGTGAACTACCAAACTCCCACAAATCTCGGATTGTGCGTTAGACATGACTAGGACTATCTTCGCCTTAACTAAATTCGTCGCTGTGTTTCGTGAAGGAAGAAAACTTTGTTTTTCACACGTATGCCGTTTCGAATGATCGTCCTCCCACGCGGAATGAAAAAGGAATGAGACTTGAGAAAGTTGAAAATCAATTTGCTTCCAGAAGAGAGGTCGAACAAGTGCCAATACGAAAAACGGAGTATTGCCCCTCCCCTCAAAATCTTAAGGTAGATGAGTCATTGGTCTAAAGAAGGCAAGACTTTGCCAAAGCTAAACGAAAACTTGAGGAAAAGATAATGGGAAGAAGCCTTTTAGCTCAAGGGAGACTTCATTCTTCAGATTCCTGAGACAAGACTCCACCGCTATGACCTTGGGCAAGTTTCTAAACTTTTTCAAACCTCTTTCTCACCTACAACATGCAGATATAATCGTTAATGCACTTGTTGTGGTGAGACTTAAAGGTACTGCAAGGTGTTAGTCCATGTTCAATGAAGGAGTCGTTATTTCAATATTTATATTTAGGGCCTTAGCCCATGCAATACTGGTCCCTCGGGACACAGATGAGGTGACCTCGATCCCTGCCTCTGTGTTAGAGATGGGGGAGGGGTGACAGAGATACAGACAGCTGATTTTTGATGTAATGGGGACTCAGAGAGAGCCTTCTGGTGTATGTGACTGAACTGAAGGAAGGAAGGTAGGAAGGTTTAATAAATTTCCAGGAAAAGGAATAGCAAGGAAAGGAATGAGTCTATTTGAAGCAGTGCATCATTGTGCACTGGCACAGTGGTTAAATAAATATTTGATGCATGCATGAAAGTTACATACTGTTACTCATTATTAAATGATAAAGTAGGAGTCATTCAACGTGTAGACAGAATAGGCATAGTATAAAAGACTATATATATTTATTATTATTATTATTATTATTATTATTATTTAGAGTGAGAGCTACCATACCCTGGTTCACTCTCCAAATTCCCACAATAGCTAGGGCTGGGCCTGCTGCAGTTGGGGAGCCTGGAGTTCAATCCAGGTCTCCCACATGGGTGGCAGGGACCCAGTTATTTGAGCCATCACTCATTGCCTCCCAAGGTCCACAGTAGCACGAGGCAGCTGGAATCAGGAGCCTGAATCAAGGAACAAACCTGGGGTCCCTGATTTGAGCCACAGGCATCCTAACCCCTAAGCCAGTGTTTTTCCCTAACTTTATATGCTTATTTATGATCCTTAATTATTTCAGCAAATATTTTTTTTGAAAGGGAGTTACACAGTGAGAGAAAGAGTGGTGTTTTGGTGTAGCAGGTAAAGCCACTGCCTGCAGTGCCAGCATCCCATATGGGTTCCAGTGGGTATCCCGGCTGCTCCACTTCTGGTCCAGCTCCCTGCCAATGGCCTAGGAAAAGCAGCAGCAGATGGCCCAAGTGTTTGGGCACCTATCAACCACATGGGAGACCCAGATTAAGTTCCTGGCTCCTGCCTTTGGCCTGGCCCACTCCTGGCTATTGTGGCCATCTGGGAAATAGTGGGTCAGCAGATAAAAGATCTCTCTCTCTCTCTCTCTCTCTCTCTCTCTCTCTCTCTCTCTTTGTCTAACTGTGCCTTTCAAATGGATAAATGAATCTTTAAAAGAAATTCCCCAGACTGCTCACAGTTTAGATGGTGACATAGTAATATCCTTGATGAAGCGCAGTGAGAGGGGACTGGCACAGCAGTCTAAACTGAGACATGGAAAATGAGTTCACAGTAGACCAGCTGGTCTGATACAAATGTGATAAGGAAATTTCAAGCCAAGAAAATATTATCAACAAAGGCCCAGAGACTTGAGAGAATAGAACTTCAAGGGATATATAAGCAGATCGGCATTATTGGAACAAAAAAGGGTAAAGGAAAGAGGAGTTGGTGGTGACAAAAAGGTGCTTTCAATTGCTGAAGGTAATGCAGCAGACTTCAGAACATTTCCATCTTCCTCCTCGAAGTAGAGTAATGAAAGTTGCTTTCAGAATCAGACGTGGCATCACCATTTATCAACACTGTAAATGGTAAATGATTTAGCTTCTATAAATCTCATTTCCTCATTTGAGAAAAGTAAAAAATATCTCACAGAGTTTTGTTAAGATTAAATAAGATAATGCATGGCTAAATACCAGGTACAATGCTTAGAAAACAGTAGATGTTCACAGAATGTTAATTTGTGTTATTATTGCTCATAATAAGAATTCTTCCAGCCTTTCATTTACAGTAAGAAGCCAGATGTTCTATCTCCAATTTGTAATGCAGAAACTTGATCATAAATGTGTAAAGAAAAAAAAATCCTTTATTTTCAACCCTATTACAATATCTCTTAAAAAATTAATGTTAAACACAGTAAGCTTTCTTCTACAGAACAGCTGGGGCTGCTATAACCTGGCATGGTAAAGAATCCTGCTAAGTTACACAGGGCACTGGGACTGCCAAAATGGCATTGAAGGCATTCTTCACCCACTGGTATTCAGCAAGCACAGAAAAGGCTTAAATTAAGAAATCTCATACATTAGATATTTTGAATTCTAAACCATGTGGGTGTTCCTCGCTATGATTCTGTATCCATACAAAATTTTAATTAAACAAAAAACATGTCATGTTTTCCTGAAATTTGATATGGCAATATTTCCCCATGGTAAAGTTCTTGCTCTCTTTTTACGTATTTTCCTTCTTATAGACTGGTAACTGTTACCACTGCTATGATTCAAGCCACTTTTCAATCTTAGAAAAGTAAAAAGAGAATTACAAAATTATTATTCTAGTACCATCAAAGATAGGAAATTATTAGCATTACCTATATGTAAATGACAACTCTGTAAAATCAGTTAATGTACAACCCTCTCTAATTGATTGTGATTTAATTGGACTTTAACCAATGATGTATACATTGAATATAATAAATTATAGAACATTTGCGTAAGTGCTTAAGCAGAATATCTGGATTGCAAATACTGTAAATGTAAGCAAACCAATTAAAGAGGATGCCGTGAGTACTCCAGGATCAAAATTGAGATTGTGTAATACTATTAATGTGGAAGTTTGATCCTTTTCCAACTAAGGAAGGCTCTCCTCATCAGGGAGAGTCAATGAGTGGAAATACCCCATCATTTCCCAGGTGCCCAG